GTGCAAGTAAAGTGTAAAGAGTAGAATAGAAGGATCGAGCCGAGAGACAGCAGGCGACGAACGAAGCATCACCGCTAGACAAGCGATTCATGTAAAAGGCCAATGGCGAAGGAATAGCATCAGAACAGTATTAGCAGTAGCAGCAGCAGCAGCAGCGGCACTCAGAGAGAGCGCAATGCACAAGCACGAGACGGCTCAATATCGGTGTACTACAGTATTGCGATCATAATGTAGATACCTGGAGGGCGAGAGAAACAGATGGCGAGTCAGAGAGAGACAAAGAAAGAGAGAGTTCAGGGCAAAATCATCGTGGCCGCTGCGGCTACAATCAGAGCGCTCTCATGTTCGGTCTTTCTAAGGGAAAGGGCACTAATCCCGTGAGTGGAAAGGGAGCCTGCCGCACGGCAGGCCGAAGACTTACTCAGGCTCACGAGGCGACAGGCAAATAGCAGGGAAAAGATGTATAGTCGAGTGGGTGACTACAGCGCGAACGCCCAACTCTGCAGTCAATCGTATGGAAAAAGAATCGTATGTGCCAAAAACGTCGATAACATTGCGGGCCAGAGCCCTAAACTCCGCGGGTTACTAAAGAGGCCGAGAGTCCCTTAATAAATATTGAACGCTACGTGTGAAATCATAAGTAGCTCGAATGATGGAAGCTTTGGGCAACCGACCAGATCTGCAATAGAAGGTATTGCCATGCCGTATGCTATTAGAGCCCCCGCACTACCGACAGTGATGACATATCACCCCTTCGCCTTGTCATTCGTGTCGTGCGTCACCCGGACCAACGGGGAGATTTCGTCAGCGGATTAAGACACAGCTGACACTCAGCCAAATATATCGCGATGACAACTCAGTAGTGATCATGTCGTCTGGGCCAAAATAGGCTTACTTATTTTGGCGCGACAAGCAATGACTGGCATTGGTGACAACAATGTTGTTTGAAATTTTCTCCTCTCGATGCTCTTTGTCCTGCAAGATTCGATTCTAAAAATCTTCAAGTTTGGAAACGTCTGTGCCACTCTCCTTTTTTTTTCGCACTATGTCATTACTGATATTTTCAGAAGGTCAAGTTTACACGCGCAGAATACATATGTACTGCTACGCTTCTCCTAGTTTTCGAAGTGAAACCCAATGACTCGCCTCGTACATCTAAATTGTTTGTCCATAAGTTACATATTACGATATCTCCCTTTTTTAGCTCCATATGGCAATGCATAGAGCTATCAAATATCTAATGCACTATGTAAAGGGTTTGATAAAACGATTAATTAAAAAAAAATTATATAGACGTATTACAGATTATTGCCTGACATATACGTAGTGACTCAGTTTTTGTGTTTGCTGCTTTCTTTTATTAAAGGGAACATTTAATAAGACATATTAGCTCTGACATCAAATCATTTATGTAGAAAATAAGCTAATAATATGGCACTCAGTTATAAGATGCCGCAACTAACGTGGGCATCCGACACATTTGAATTCAAGCAAACAGCGTAACGGTACACTTAACGTAAGCATAAGATATACGACAAAATCTTGTCTGCCAACCCTATTGCAGCAATGTAATATTTCTATATATTCCCAGGAAAACAGCTTCTCGAATAACTTAACGGTGAAGAAAATTAATGTGAGCGGATTTATTGTAGCCTATAGGCGTCCACTCATAGCTGCACCCGCATGCAGCCCACCGTTGTTTGATATTCTCACGTAACAAATCAGGCTACGTGTGTCATCACCAATTAAGAAAAAATCATTATTTTTTGTCAAAGCTTTGTGACATAAATATGATAGTGAACTTTTTCATTTCCAGACAAATATTAAGAAATCGAAATATACTTTCGTACTCGTACTTCATTAACACAGATTACTGTCCAACCTCGTCACGAAAATATCACCCAATGAACAACACAATTTATTATATATAATATGGGAAACAAAAGACCTTCACTAATGTAATTCCATTTGGATGCGATCACCCTCGTTACGTTTCAGTCAGGGCGTGCAATGTCTTGTATTTGAAGGGAATACTCACTAAAAAGAGCTGCGTCAGACAGTAACCATGCAAGATAACCAAATTAGATATAAAACAATTGACAGCAAAGCCCGTTCAGCGTCATTTGAGAAGAAGTATTCTAATTCATTATACGCACGAAAGTTGTATTCAGCGGTTTTTCGAAAATTCACCATAAAAGAAATTCCCCTGTGTTGATGATTTTTGCCGATTACTACCGTCATAATGCGTCAAACATATTTAACAGCAGTTTTCTATAGAATGCGTGTATTCGGAAACTGTTTCTTTCAGTTGGATCTGATTAGGCCGACCTTGCTGTGTATGAAAGCTTACCCTAAATAAGGAGGTCTCATGAACGCGGAAGCAATTGCGCAGTTCTATAACGCCGCCACTTGGGAAATTATAGACCAGCGGTCAATACAATAACCTGAGTCTCTGTGAGAGTACTGAATATTCATAATCATCTTCAGTGGCTGCGAAAAAGCAACCTGCACGTGTATGATCCAAGAACTGGGCTTGGAAAAGTGAATCCAGTTGCTTTCCAAATAGTGAGTGGCCCACTATCTGTGTCCCAATTTATTTTTACAATGTCTCGCGCTCTTTACATCTAAAAGTGGGATGACTTCTCCGTATTTGTGTATTTACTTACTGAACCTCTAGTGTATTATACAGGCTGTCACTTAATTTTGCTATCGTTTATCAGAATATGACTTGATTCTTATTACAAATTTATAATTATTGAAAGATATCTATATATAAAACTTGGTTAGCTATCGTTTCCTTTTATAAGTAGATTCATCCGTAGTAGTAATAACAATAATAATTATGCCACCAGGGGATTCAAAAGATACATACAATTTCGCTATGAAATATGAGGGTACGATATTCACGACCGCCTAAACGCATATTATTCCTATATTTGTTTTTATGACTTGAATGCCCAGCTTTATGAAGGCTTCCTTGATTGAGGCGCGACTTTGATGCCTTATCAATCGTACCATAAGGGAGCATTTACCTTGCAAACTAGATTCTACCCATCTTTTGATCGTTCATTTGAACTTCAAGCCGCATTTTCGCTAAACCTAGCGGGTACTCCCATTATCATCGTTCGAGAAGTAAATAGGCCTAGCTTCATAGAACTTAGCTTTTTGTCCGGTTCAGCGTGAAACGAATAATGAGCGACCTGTTTAAGTTAAAATTTCGTTTGGATACATCGGAGAGGCAACACTTCTATAAAAAGCAAAATTAACATGAACGTATTTAATAGTATGGCGCCAAATTGCAAGTATTTTTTTAAGAAGACGGTATAATAAATGAACGAGCAGTAACGTATCTAAGCAATATTTTCACTACATGCATGTTGCCGTTACACTATAAACGCCGTGGTAGTCGTGTTTTAACTACTGGATTATAGTAAGATGTGGATCTGATGCGGCTTATGTATTGCGAATTGATAAATAGTCATGATCCCTTCGCTGGCCTGCCTTTTCCTTAAGCAACTAATGTAATATAAATTAGTCATGTCGTATATATGGCAGAGCCAACGGCGTTCGCAGTTTTGCATCAAACATAGCCAAAAAATATCAAGTTGCTTAAAAGTCTACTATGAGTTTATCATGATGCGTGAAAGTAACTTCGCTGGTAAGTACAACGATAGGGCTACATTTGCTGCTATTTGGTCAAGGGCAAATGCACTATTGAACATTATCGTGATACGCTTCATCTCTGCGACAATTACTGTATATATAGGAGTATCGACTGGGTGAGAACAAGTGGTAAGGGAAAGGTCCGCACTTGTAAAGCGTCGAGGTTTTATATTGAATACTAGGCACTTATTAGACAGGTGTCCTATGAGGACCTAAATAACGTCTTCCTTTACATTATTCAAAGGCGACAAACGTTTGCAGTGGCCACATAAAAACAATAGGCCGGGTTCCAGAGTCCACCTATTGGGCAGAAATTACATAAAATGTCGCAACATGATATGCTAAACGATTTTCTGAACACATTCTCTGCATATAACGGGAGCTATATAATGTTACTAGATGCTGTCCGAAGATTGTAAACTTCAATTCCAAAAGTTAAAGCCCCCGGAGCCTTTTCCATTTTTAGTTGGGAAAAATATATATTAATTATATGTAGCTCCAACTGGGACAGTGAAAATTGCAGAAATTCTACCGTAAAATTTCAAAGTGCATAGTTAACAATTTGCCTAAAGAACTCACAAGCAATCAGGATTGTATAGACCACCAGCTCGAGCGAGCGAATTTCGTTGATTCATTTGCAATAGGAATCGGGACTTTCGGACTATTACATATGCAGCGTATAATATGGGGGGTAAACAGATCTTCACATACGATAAAAAATAATTATTGTATTAAATAAAGCAATGGACTAATCACAGATGATTTCATGTTTCGGACGAGAACGAAACTGGAAATTAGTTGATGTGTGGGGCAGTCGAAAGGGAGTTTAGACAGCTGCCTTTCGACACTCTAGAGGATTTCCTGCAGCTTCTATCCAGTTTAGCACTAATGGAACATATAAACCATGTTTCCATTTCGTCGTTGTTGCGGCACTAACAAATTAACTCTTTAACAGGCAATCCGCTCGAATGAACATACTGAGGTAATACATTACTATATGTACATCATAAGATATTGCTTTCGAGGTAAATTCTCTTGAAGATAACCTTGAAAAATCCCAAGTGCTCCAGTGCGAGCCGATTATTGTAGTACAGTATAGAGTTATTATAGAGTGCTGAAAACAATTCTGCTAAAAGAGCCATTTCCGAATCGGTACAAACTACTCTTTGCAGAAAGTCTGCTATCCAATTCCAGTTTTTTAAAATTTCGTGAAATATTGCGAAGATTATAAAGGCAAGCGTACGAAATCATTTGTAATTTTTTTTTTATAAAGTATATTGGAATATAACGCGGCATCAATAAATTTCCATGAGCAGTTAAGTATTTATATATAATGTGATTTATTTGTACGCTGGAGGTTTGAACATCCTTTTTTTTCTATTTATCGAGCTATAAATCTAGTCAGTCTAGATCTTCAAGTAATAAGATTGTCAAATAGTTTTGGCTCAATTTATTATATTCCTTTAGTAATTATCATAAGGTTATTTAAACTGTCATTCAAAAAGCTATGTTTCTTTATTATCTACACTTTCGATGAGAACAACAACGATAATATTAATAATTAAACCCTGAGCGCCACCGTACCGAGTTTTGGTATTGTTATAGAATATAGACAATTTAATTAGGAAAAGATCTCGCGACAAGCGGCGTACCATTAGATATACGAGTAACGGCATCCACAATAGCCGCCATCCGGCTCAGGCTCTTATTGCCCAGCATACGCTGCTGTCAAATTCAGATATCTTCATCTCAGCATCCCCTCCCTATGTCTACACAAACTGAAAACGCTCTCACCGGCCTCATTTAACCGTACTATTTTCCAGTCTAAGCCCACAAATATGAAAGCTTCCCTAATGGTTTCAGGCACAATGAAAAGAAGTATTATGTATATATAGAAGAAAGGCTCTGTTTCCACGTTCGTCCTATAAACACTCAGGCGCAGCATTGAGAGTTGCCGCGGTGGGTGGGAAATCATTCATGTCCAGTTCCAGACAGCTTTGAGCGCGCAGCTTTCAGAGGTTATCTTGCAAAAACGATAGAAGCGTTGTCTCATAATGCTCCGAGGTGGCAAGATGGCGCAGCGAGTGTCGCTCCTGCGGATACACCTGTTAAATCAAAACAACATAAATATTAGCGAAAAAAAAAACATTAAGAGCAGTGTTCCACAAGGAAAAATATAAATTTTTTTTTGCACTGGCTCGTAAACACTTATTGCTTTGCACCTAAAGTAGGAATTTCAAAATTGAGACTGCCTATTTATATGTCGCTTGTTTATTTTGTGACAAAATCGTAGCAACAAAGAAATGCGTTCCGCATAATCTTATAGCATCTACTTTATGCTCTGATTTAGAAAAAGCGAACTGTACCTGTAGTCGATACGGCTTTCCGGCTTTCACAAGCGCCTGAACAAGTGAAGTGGTATGTGTGAAGTGGACATTCTCATCCATCAGTCCGTGAATGAGCAGCAGTCGACCCTCCTCATCAGGGAATTGACTCACATGACTTAGGACGCTACCTCGATGATAGCCTTCCCGGTTTGCTTCTGGTAGACCCATGTAACGCTCCGTGTAACCAGTATCGTACAAATTCCATTGCGTAACAGGTGCACCTGCATATTACACAAATCATAGACGCATAAACACAAGGTGAAAAACATCAGGAATGTCGGATGGTTATGATGCAAGTCCTGAGTCATAGGAACATCTAACAATGAAAAGTCATATGGCTGGAATGAGATTTCTATTACTAGTCAAAACGCAAAAACTTCACGCTCATTCGATAAGCAATTATAAACATATCATTATTAAAAGGTACTACCCGTATTACACACTATGAGAAAGATGCCGGTTTTCTATTACTAAATAGTAACTAAGGGGTACCTGCGACGGCTAATTTGAAAATGTCGGGCCTTTGCGCTAACGCCATAAGACTTAGATATCCTCCATAACTCCAACCATGAATGGCCACACGACTCATGTCCATGTATCCCCGATCCTCAGCCAGCCATTGCAATACTTCTACCTGTAAAATGTAAAAAAGAAAGTAAATAAAAGCCAAACTAAGGTTATTGATGGTGACGATGATGGCGATGATAATGATAATAATTCCTATAATTTCCTTTAGTGAATTTTATGTATTTAACATAGGTAGATTTTTCCTGACCTGATCCTGTATTTCCACTTGTCCCATGCGACCCTTCAAGTGACTTTCGAAAGCCACACCACGATTCCGAGAACCCCGGCAATCCATAGTTACCACGCAGAAATCCTCTGACGAAAGAAGATGCTGCCGTAAATGTCGCATACCCTATTGAAATGGTTGTGCCACATCGTGTGATTAGTTTCGGTCGAATAAGGTTCTTAGAATTCTTCTTAAAATCATATGCAAAGAATTAGTCTTCTGTAATTCTCCTGAGCAGCTCCGAGCGATTTATTCGTTATTTGGCGGTACTAACTAACCTTAAAACTATTTGTGACTAGTTGAACCTCCGGGCCGCCGTAAATCGTTAACACTGTCGGAAATTTATAGGGCCGACTTTCATCGAGGCTACGTGGCTTAAAAATAACTCCGAACACCGTATCTCCCGAACTGAGCTGGTGCTGAAAAAGCTCTGGAACACGATATCTTTCGTCTACACTTGCTGGTTCCATTAGGTTACCTGAGGAAATTATTTGAAAATTTTAAATTGTATACCTCACCGGAAAAAATTTGTTTCTATCCAGAATTAATAACCGATTCTATTTTTGCTTTTACCTTCTAGCATCATTCAACTTTTGCTATGCTTGATCACTCCCAGAAAGCTCACTAACCTATTAACTGCAACTGAGGCATATATTCTCGCAGTCCTCCTGGCCTTCGAATGCTGGTTGCCTCTTGCTGCTTGAGAATTACTGTGTCAGTGTCCCCTCCAGCGCAACGAACCCCGACATCGCTGTCGTTCGTAACAAGTCGATACAGTCTAGCAAAAGGTGGCTGGGCTAAATGGCTTTCAATTGTCACGACCAATGAGCATTCAGGATTTACAAATGCTTGGTAGGATGCTCCGAGCGAAGTTAAGCATTGTATTTCTCCTAGTGTTTCGTCAAGACTGACCACGTATCTATAACAGATACACGCAATCAGGGAAGCATGTAGAACAAAAATCAGCATTAGAATTCGTAATATTTAGAATAGATGCGTACTCAAAAGTAGTACAGAGAGATAAATGCCTGAGGTAATAACTACGATAATTTCTTAATTTCCAACAATCCAACAAGTCTAGAAAGTGATTTTTATTTTATTTTGACCGAGTTAGTTAACCGCTTTTACACACTGTGTCACTTACAGTTGTTTTTCCAAAGGTGAATCCTTAAGTCCGATAAAATAGACAAGTCTTCGCTGATTATCTATCCAGACGTATTTATCACTAACTTCCCAATCTCCTCCAGTCAATGGTCTTCGCTCAATGCACATCCCTGTTTCAAGGTCAATACGATATAGATACAGGTGCCGAAATCCCGTTGCTTCGCTAGCCCACACGAATTCAAGTATTTGCGGGGAAGATGATGTGCGAATCTGATTGGCTCGCTGGTGCTGCTTCTGCTGCAATTGTTGATAGCGGTCGCCTTGATCCTGGCAAGGATCTTGAGCCAACGGTGCCACGTTTGCTGTTGAATCCCAGTAGTGTTCGGCACCTAGCCCGTTCTCCATTATGGTGTCTCCTCCGTCGCACAATGGCACATCTCTGCTGCCTTCACTAGTTGGCGAAGACGATACAGTTACTCCCGACATCGTGACCGTTTGTGGCGGTAATGATTCGTTTGACAAAAAACCCAAAACATCATGCACATTTATCCAAACAGAACTTTTCTCCTCGAGTAAGAGAACCGCATGGGTTATTAAACCATCGTCATTGATTTCGGATGGTAACAAATTCATTTTTGGCTCTGTCTCCATAGCAGAAGCTCCGTAAGATGCACCAGAAGATGCCAGTTTATCGTAGGATTTCCGCTGTACTCGCACAAGCAATAGCTGCAGTGTATCCTGTTGTCGATTTAAAAGTTGAGCCCAAATGTGGCGTGCATCCGGTGTCCACCCTGCTCTAAGAACGTACTCGGCTGCGTCAATAAATGGATTCGATATCTGGGCATAGGAAATATCTACAAATGTGCCGTTCGAAGCGACTGAGAATGATACAAGACGTAAACTTGATTTGGCATTGGGTGTTCCCGCCCGCGGGAAGTGATACTCCTCAACCCCACCTGTAAGATATCATGTGGAAAAAATTACAGTTATTGTAAGATTTTAGTCGCCACTGATAGTAGATCCTGAATAGGATTCAAGTATGCTATTGAAAAGATACTACATTATCGTATGGTATATATATAAAAGACATATTTTAGAACATCTGATGAGTAAGTGCGACGCTCCTCTGTGCCCCAACCCCTCTATGATTTCGCTAATTCAAAGTTAGTAACGAAATAGCAGCTTGTCTCACATCACTTGCGTTAATGTCGAAATGTAGCAAAAACACTCTGTAGCGAAGAAATGAATTCAGTTAAATATTGTCAAAACACAAATTTGTTAGTAAACGATACTTCAGCGACAAAACAATCATTAGGGGATATGCGACACCGAAAGGAGCATGAACCATCCATCTTTTTAGGGCTTACCCGTGACAAAGCAGTTGAGGGAACCCTATTTTGATATGTACTGAACAGAAATGGGAACAGATGAACGAAAACATCAACAAGGAAAGACCGGCGCTAAGACCTCAAGAGAGTTAATTGAAATTTCATATATACAGGCAAATACACGCCGAGTCTGGAATAATATTCTAGATAATAATTTTTCAGTGCCTCATTACAATTTTGATCGTAAAGCAAACAAAAGCAATGAGAAAACTGCTTCAACCTGCAGATGTTTTCGTTAACACCAAGTTGTGGAAATGCTACGGAAAACAAGTTGTTCTAAGAGTGCTAGTGAAAATGGATGTGCCACAATAAAAGTCTTCACAGAGGCTTAGGGTCGAAAACTCTGTGTAGAGTTTTCGACCCTAAATTTTGCGTAAAAATCCCGCTTCCTCGATACTGCATCATTATAAATACAAACTATAGTTCCTGCAGCCACTGGCACAACATCTGTATAAGAAAAAGAACAACGACCATGTTTCGAAGTTTTTATGCCAGGTTTGAAAACAATGGATAGACATCAAGCCTTTTCTTTTGTTTTAACTGAAAATAAATCCCGAAAGCAGCTTTTATATGATATGAGAATAACTTTTGTGATGTTCCTAATTGCCGCTCAAAAATTTGAAACCCTATCTTGTCTTTATCATTCGATGGGAAAAAATTTCGCCGCTTTATTAGTCAACTTGCATTAAGAGACGGATGACTAAGCTAACTTTTGACATACACTAATATAATTGATACACTGATATAACGAATTTATAAAAATAAGCCAAACTTTAAAGAATACTCAATCGCGTATCGGATACATGCGCAAAAAGGCGCAAGTGCTACAGAAAGGCAAAGTAAGCGGGCTTTTGTTAACGTCAAAGGGTGTTGCGATTGACCACGGTCATCTTTTGTGACAGAATACATGAACCAGCGTAGCACACGAATGTTAGAAAAATCTGCGCTTTACTCTGTGAGCACACTATTAGATAGCTTAAGGGAACCTCAATGTTCAAAAAATGGCGAGGCTTTCAGTTTTGCTGTCAGTAATACTTAAGCAATCCAAGAGATAAAGGATTCTGGAGTATGTCAAATAACAATAAACAACCTTAGACTAAAAAACTACAACGTTGCAAAAGGCCCTTAACATCTCACTTTCATCAGATCTAAGAAATTATCATATATACTATAATGTTTATAAGGAACGGGTGACTTAAGCAGGTTACGTTTGATTCAACAGTCTTCCCTCAATCAGCTACAATTCGGATTGCAGTTTGGTGATACAAGCGCACTCTCTTACCTGATGGGCGTTCGGCATCTTCGAAACACGTTGATACGATCATACCTTTAGGAAAAAGGATCCTACAGGGACTTTGTAAAGTTGCGAAAAAAAATTTCTATGGGCAGTTCGTAATCAATGGAAGCAGGCTTAAACTATACTATGCAAAACGTTAATCTTCAACGCGATAATACATAAACAAATGGACATGGCCAGTAAGGGTGGAGCTAAGGCAGCTATTCACATAGCAAGAGTCTTCGTGATAGTTAAAGGTCCGTTTCGAGTTATAATTGAATTCGATTTTCACAACGCATATAACCTTATCCGTCGTAACTTCATGTTAGAAAAAGTAAAACCAAAAACGCCAATCCTCTTTCTCGTCGTGCGCCAGAGCTATAAGAATTCTACTCCTGTCTTAGAGTCTACATGAACTGCTTTCCTCAGTTAACAGCAATTGGTATAACAGTGTGACTAATTAGAACTAGCGATTTCTAACATTGTTATCTAGAGCTTGGTTAACATTCTTAAAGTTTCGTTCAAGGCATACAGTTTCAGAAAGGCCAATAGATGGGCCGCTACCGATATATTTAGTCTGTTTATTTGAAGATGCTGAGATGGTTTCTACATCACTATACGTGAAACCACAGAAATCAAAGGATGCCCACAGGAAAGATAAAAGGCACACAACGCTATAACAGGCATAGTCTCAGGAGATCAAGCGGCTCGGCCCAAAACGACTGGACTACCTAATAACAGCTATTGCCACATAAAATATTTTGTGGCAGAAACAAGTGTTGCTGCAGGTGCATACGTCTTCCTTTGATGGCTATTCATTCATGAGCAGCACTATGCGCTTGAAGATACAGCTTGGGTTCGCCTAAATTTATACATACATTTTCTTGGGATGAGGTAACAATGAACATCCTTAGTGAAATACTTAACGTAGGACACACATATCAGGCAGGTTTGCCTACTAGAAAAGGTAATTAAGAGTTGTCTTTTTTACTATTCAGAAAATCAAACGAAAGCGACCATGCTACATGGCTTAATTTAGTACAACAACGCGATCGACGCGATTGACGCGATCAAGACAATCGATAACGTTCAGCAGGCCTCTGTAGTGGTCCTATATTGAAGAGTAATTCCGCCTCTCGTGCTCACAGCTTTACGTGTCTGAGTTCTTGAGAACACAAATCGATTTGCTGCTTACTAAATACGACTGACAGTTGTTTGTTGGTTTGTTATAAATCTAAAAAAAAAAAACAGACACCAAGTAGTGCAGCTTATGGAGGTGGTGTTGATTATTTCATTATTCGAAAATATCTTTGGCGTAATTATTAGCATTATTTATTCTTTTGACTTTCTCATCTTCACTATTTTGATATGGAGACTTTATTGCAACAGTCATAATATTCTGCATGCTCAAAAAGTTACCAGTAGCGTTGGGGAGTTCGACGACTTCGACATCTGACTCGTCGACGACTTCATAAAGAATTGAGTACCGAATGGGTTGGTTTTCCTCCCTCGATCCTACGGGTGATCTTGTCCGTGGAGGACTTGTACTCCTCATATCGACACTATCCGCTGTGGAACGGGGAGCCCACCAGAACCCAGAAAATCTGTTGAACTCCTCTTGTGTTACATAACAGGGAATGCCTGCGCTAAGCGTTGCATCCGATTCGTGAACAGTGGTCAGACGGAGTTCATGCCCGCTCGCCCAATTATAAACCTAAAAAAAAGCAAACATTACATTAAATATATTTAATATCTTATAAATATATATCCTGTGCATCTAAACTCATTTTATAATATTAACAACGATATGTACACCTATAACCTGGCTGATCAGTAGTCCGCATTTTATTCATCCCCCGTAATAGATAAAAATCGTTTGGATTTCAATTTGGACTCAAATAACAAGTTTAACCTATGCATGTGTAAAGTTACCAATCTTTTTCAAGTCATACCTGTAAGCTTCGATCTCGGTATCACATCACTATGATGAAATTTTACACTCCTTCAGTTCAGGTTATTAAGAATAAATAATTAATTTACTTATTAATTTGCAGAAACCACTCCTTTGATTTGCACAAAAACTTACCCATATGTCATTATGTGAAATATAAGCAGTGATGTTAGGATCAAAAGGGCACATTTGTGGATCTAATCGGGTTCGTCGATTTTGTTCAGTGATTCGTACTTCTTCAGGAAATACACCCTGATCTGCGCATCCTAGGGGGAACTCATCGTGGCACCGAAACACCGAACCAGAAGAGCTAAATGCGAAATTGCCTGGAGCAACATAGTCAAAAGCTGCGATTCCGCACATCATGACACGTTTCCGTTCCAATTGCAGTTGCTCTTCCTTTGATGATCGCGCATACGAACACGACTGCGTAGAATGAAATTTGCTTTCGAACAGCATCTGACACTTCGACAGCTCGCTATAATACCATATGGAACAGAAGAAATTAACGGTATGAACTATCGTTCTGATTCAGTCCCATGCGAAACTGACAATATCCAATTACTAACTTGAATAAGAAGCTCAATTACATATCTGGCAGTGAAAAGGTCAATGTAAAGAGATAGAAGCTGAACCTGAAATCTGTCACCAAAAACACACGTGACGTCCTTACCCTTTGTCGTTGACATCAACGTAATGCAAGGTCATCTCGCGTCCGGTAGCAAGCGAGCACAGAAAGTAGATTCGAACTCCATTTTGTTTCCTACAGAAGACGACAGCCGCCGGGATTCTGCATGCTGTGTGATAAAGTCGACATCGTACATCACGCACCACCTGACGAAGTTCCGACCAAGTTTTTCGACGGTGACGCACAAAACGTGGATGCTCAGGAACGGGTGCCCCGGTGTAAATTTCACTTTCCATAGCCAACCGATAACCGTCTCTGAGCAAGACAATTTAAATTATTGTCTGTTTTGACAGGGACTTGCCTCGCAAACGAAAACCAATAAAAAAATTATTGAAATAAAATTCAACGAGCAATTCACTTCTGCAGTTTTTCTTTTTGGTTAAGTACAGAGACAGATGTCAATCCTAAAAAAAATTCGAAATAATAATATTTTCAAGCATGTTATAGCATCGTGTGTTTCATCATAATTTATGTGAGTATAAACACCAACGTAGCGTGGCGTAGTACCTTCCTCATCGACATAACCATTATTCTTTATTTATTGTCTAACTGACGTGAGAAAATAACGCATAAAATAAGACCAATGATGACATCTTAGAATGAGCAACATTTCTAAGAATACGACAACACTACCGTGGATAAAGGATAAAGAAGGTTTTATAAATTCCCTTAAAATATTAGAACAGTATTCCATATGCCATCGGATACATGAGATTGAAGTGGGTATCTCACCTTGAAGAATTCGCAACCGACATGGAGATAGTTCTAATACTACAAAAGACAATCCATTATTTTGCATTTATTCAAGTAAGACATTCCGGACAAGTACCTGAATAGTTACCAAGGTATCAACTGTCACGGCATATTATGTCAGTCATGATTGACTAATGGTGCACGCGAGTAACGCAAACCCCTCTATACTTGGCACCTACAAAATGCATAGGTTTATACAGCGAAGTCTATGCAGGCTTTACAGTTTGCCTCCCTATAAAACCCTCAAGGTAACTACGACAATTGCTACCTTGGAGGCACGCACATTCTCTGCAAGAAGTAATCATAATATATATCTAATCAAGTACAGTCAATTACCACTAAGGTGGGCTAATACTGGCAACCTTTATATATGGTGCCAAATGATTTATAACCTTGGCACATATTGAGAATCAAAGAAGCATATTGGATGATCGAGTTGTGAAGAGGTCAAATAAATATATTTTAAATAACTCTTTGGAACGTGAGCTAGGAATCGTATAAAATCGCATATTAGCACCCCATTTAATCGTTTTTCCCATAGCCATAAAGCCATGGCCGCGGTTAAACAAGAATTTTACGCCGACCTCTTTTTATAATGTCAACTGGGTTCTGAATAAATTAACTTGTTCATACAAATATCCTATTGATATGTACTGTATGGGTTAGTGCTGATTATTTGTATAATTATTTTATAAGCATGGTTCACATTCATCGCTAAATGTTAGCAATTCGACATCTCCCGTTATCAAATGTGACATGTGCTTCATTGTCGTACTTCTTCATATTAAATTCGTTGATGAAATGGCTTTTCGCAGATATCCGGCTTGTTGGTTTCATTCTCCGTATTATGTAAGTTTTTGAAAGCTATCATCTTCGCCGTAAAACCACGATATCATCAAAAAACCAAAAAGTCACAATAGGCCATGTAGAATTAAAGGCAAACTAAGCCTCAAGCTTGAATCCTACGACTAGCAAGACCGTAACAACCTTGGTTACATCGTAAAAAGAAATATTTGTAAGAAAATTGCCTGTACCAAAATTAAAGTTGTTCAACTTATACATCTTCAAATTTCGCATTTATTTTTCTGCAGGGTCTACAACACCTTCAAGGTGTGAATATATCAATGTCAAAGAAAAAAGTGGAACGAGTAGTTCAGAGCTGAAAATAATAACGAGTTCTAACTAAATCCTGAAAATAACCGGGACGAAATCTGTGCTGGCTACAGGTCCCTCATACAACTGTTATTCGTTATTGCCTCTATAGCTACCTGTGAAATCGAACCTTGCATTAGCCCTAAGGACTCATACTTGCTTTTACGGCCCTCTCACAGCGACACGCGATTTCTGGAAGATTACTTATAAACCTGTATGACCTTTTGTCTGCGGTAGTAACAAATTAATGCGAATAAATACTGATATTTTTTATATGCTATATAATATAAGATATGCTACATACAAAAAATTTCAGCGAGTTTAAGTACTGGGTTGACAGTGGGCCCACTGTCCCAGAAATGCAAAAGCTTAAAGCGGCTAATAAGTTCAAAAGGTGCAGAAAGTCTCAAAATAAAAATTGTACGGGCTCGTCTAAACGACCCAACTGTGAATTCATATTCTGAGCTTCAAAACTGCAATCGCTTCTCTAAAAAATATCAAAAATGGCTTTCTGGGTCACCTTCACAAATTTTCGATTCTTTTAAATGAAAATTCTATCAGGAGCATCCTGTATTACCTGCTAAAAATCTTTATCGGATTTTCGCATAAGTCCGCAAAAACCGCATAAAAACTGCAGTAGCGTGGACAATCATTTGTCTTTTTTTTGACATCGTAACGCTTCGCAGAGCGCGTAGACACTAAATAGTAATTGATTTTCCCTGAAACTTCGAAAACGACGTACTCTCTTTCGTTATGAAAATTTGTCTGGTTCTTAAAAAAACTGGTTTTCGCCTGGTACCAGGAGCAATAAATGGATGCATATCCGTTATGACAAACAACCCGCCAAAGTTTTCGCTATTCTAAACGCACCATCCTGTGTGCACTCAAAATTATTCTGTTTCAGCGCCTAAAAGATCACTTATTTTGCATATAAGCTATAGAGAATATTCTGTTTCACTAAGACATCACTATAATTTGCAAAAAGTCTGAGTACACCGACGGAAATTTAAAAACGAATATTATATCATGAAATGAAGCTCGTGAAGAAAAACGGTATCATGGAAAGAAATTCTAGTATTTGTATACAATGTGCCTTGACTTATCTTTTTAGCTGATAACACAAACACTTGTGATCTGAAATCAATTCGATTCTTCGATTTGGTCCAATGCTATTTACTGCTGCAGACTGACAACGTTTATTATTCAATGTATTCACGTATCAAATAATAAAAATGCTGCACTTTTCTATACATCTGGCACAATGTTTCGCTAGCGACTCTCTGTATCAACTCTGTATGAGCCAGCTTTTTCAACCTTGCCCTATGCGTAAATAGTAACTAAATTTACATATAACATACTGACCTACAATACGAACAGCAGTGTTAGTCCAGATGACCGAAGTTGATTATTAATGTGATAGATAATAGATAGTGGAGGAACGGTTTACCTCAGCTAAAAGCGAGCACACAGGCCTCTCAATTTTTGTCGAGTTTACGTCATGAGTGCAATTTTATGAATTACGAACTTTGCCAAACCAAATTCAGTCACATTGGGCACAAACTTTATCTCCTTTATACAGAGTGTGTGCGAATCTAGTCAAGATTGGCCTTGGTCGGCCACATTCATTCACGCCGCGCTCGGCTGAATCGGTCGAACACTATTCTTCAAACTGTATTCCAACTTTTCAGACTCTACCATGTAGTACTACAATTGCATCTATTGATGATATTGCGTCACGTTATTCCAATACACTATCGGGCTACTGGCTATTCACGCCACCGTTTAAAAGCGGCACAACATCCCACCAGCACCGGATCGCACAAATCACTTCTCCTCGTCGGCGCTCCCGGCTTTGCGGTAGCACCCCTTTGGCTTACACAGTAGACGGTACAACAGCTAGTAAGCGCAGTAAAGCGGCAGTAGCATTGGGTTCTTTCCATCCCGTCAACATCAACTCACACCTGTGTGTCGCCATCTTTCTTATTTACAAACACTGATGACGGTGATTTATCGGCTAATACTGATAAAATATTTTTATGAGTTCATATGTCCAACAACGTATATATACATAACGTTTTACGAGATATTCAATCCCATTCGTTAGGCTTACTGCTGGATTCCCTAAATTTTGATTCACGACAACAGGTGACCGCGTCTGCTACTAGTAAACAATCGGTCAGCACAATAACACAGTTTGCGTCGACATGATCTCATATCCATGAGAGTTATTGTGGTTACTCCTAAGACTGTCTGAATATTAGCTAGCGCTTTTCATTTGTTTTCACTGCGGGTGGTGCACCGGCTCACTGTCGTCGTGCTATTGATTGAGCTATTCAAGCCAATCGTTACCTGCAATAGATGCTATAGTTATCTACTCGGTAATTGCTACACAGTAGGGACTATAAGCTGGCCTACGAAATAAAGGCTACATTCGTAAAAATTTGATTATACCGGTGAGAGGTAATATTTTGGAATGAGCTGAATCTTTAAAGTACACCAAAACTATGTACATTACGTGCATACGAAAAAGACAAATTCGAAACAAAATGCACGTACATTCTCTAATAAATATTCTACACAGATCGTAATATAAAGGAATATAAAGGTTGGTATATCGTTGATCAATAGAGGCTTTTCTTAAATAGAATATCGTATTAATTCAACTTGCCTTAGCATCTAGACGCACTGATTTACCTCAATCACGGACAACCAGTGAATATCGAAAATCATAGTTTTATATAAAACCTTATATATAATATGACTTCAAAAAATATGATAAATAAAATATGAGCAATATGATCAAAATGCATAACAGCGTTATTACTTGTTATTTTACGAATGGTGCGTGATCAACATATTCTTTTGAAGCTTAATAAGCTCACATAAACTTCATTTAATATCCGCTTTATACCGAAATTATTTATTTGGCATTTGTTTGATTGGCCTAGTGAACTTAAACTCGTAAGATGACCAAGTATCATGCAATATGTTCCTTAAGTGTGATAAGGTTGGTAAGTGTGGTAAGAACCATCGATTGTTCTAATAGTGGCAGAAGCGGGTGCTTCAAACCATCCGCATTGTACATACCTCATTCAACTATCTATTTACTTTAATTCACAAAGCTAAAAGGCTGCGACTATCGAATAATGTACAGTTAAAGCGTGCAGGTTATAATATACGATTAACAGATAGGCAGCCACCATAAATGTAGTCGACAAATATCTCACGCTGTTTTTTTTGAACCTGAAGGTATCGTAGTAAAATGGTAAAATGTTTCAGTCTCAGAATTGTCTACACAGGTTTGTTTTCTAAATACAATCTGATCGTTAAGATTTTAGTGTCTCTATACGCCTTGAGTTGTTTCAGGTTAACTGCGAAAAAGAAGATATTCTTCGGATTCCTATCACGTCCACACTTGTAAAAGAGATGACTGACACTTAACGGTTTAATTCGTTGAGTTGAACTAAGAAGTTGTTATAATATGGCAAAAGGGGCGATGTGTATTCATCCCTTACAAAATCTACAATTCAAATCTTCAAGTGTATAATAATTTAGATGAAGGTCTGGTTCAGTGGTTTCACTTAAACAAACCTGCAGTAACGTTATATTGGCCAATTCGAAAGTTGCTAGCGTTACGCATTTGAGTTTCTCAGCTTCTTTCTATGGACAAAGATTACATTCAGAGTTATAAAACGAGCTCTTTATGTAACACCAAATAAACGTTCGAAAAAAAACGAAGATTTGATAATACTGTAATACACGCGGACTACACGGATAGTTTCCTGAATCAAATTTAAAAGAACGACTGTCAAATACTGTTTTTCAAACATCTCACTACACACATAAATGTACCGATTTATTCCGACGCTGCTTTAAGACGCACACAGCAATGAATTTTTGCATAGAGAAATTATTAGGTTGTTAAATGCTTCCATGGCAACACCCCAATTCTTAACTGTCTCAAAACGAAATAATACGATAATTGCAAAATCAGAAAGAAGAGAATGTAAAGTAGTTTTCCACACTGAAATAGACTATTATTTTTTATTTATTACTTTTTATTGCCTTTAGATTGGCTTCCGCTTCCGCCTGCAAGGGGTTTGCCATCACCATGTGTGACTCTCGACCTCAACTCGTCTTCGATCTTTGCACGAATGCTTTTCTCTAGATTACTTTTGATTTTTTGCCTCACCGTGATAGGTTTTGCCTTACGAGGTCTACTTCGATCATCTCCTGAAATAAATATTTAATACATTATTTTATCAAAACCTTCTTTGATTTTCTAATCGGCATCTAATCTGTATAAAATCGAATGTTACCAATATTAATAAACGCATTTTGAATTGAGCTAGCATGAGACGTTGACAACATGTATAACAACTGATATTCATGAATAGGTACATAAGTGCTGGTGCTTTTCAAAATATTAGATGAGGCGGATTTTATTTAACAATAAGGGAGAATCAAAGAAAGTAACAACAACTATTCAGTGTAATCATAGCGTTGTAAATGATTCGATAATTATGTAGTGTTATTTAATGAATGATTTACAAATGGATTACAATTGAAACTTAGTTTCACTGCAAAAATCGAGAAAAATGTTGAGAATTAAATCAATTGCTACGAAAAAGGTTATTTCAAGCATGCTTTGCTCTAGCATGCCTATTATTCTAGCACTTTTTTATTACCGGGAATGCACACGTAAGAGAGCTGAAAAAATTATTAAGTTCGTATCGTACTACAGAACCTGTGTGCGAGTAAAGTTACATAAACTTTCAAAGATAGCAACTCACTTTTAAGGATGATCTTTTTCTGCGCGCCTTTCGGAATCTTCGTTTTAACCTTCAGCTTCCCCTGCGACATCTCAGCGAGGCCTAACTTCACACCTATTTAATGAATAACACGCACTTATCAAGAAACGGCCCGCCGTTGGTATCTGCCACGTTAATTTGCACGTCACGGTCTGTTCTGAAAAACAATACGTTCCTTCTTTCTTGTTTACTATGCGAGCCAACTCTCGAACGAAGACCTGTGATACTGTTAGATTAAGCTCTATTTGCGAAACTTATTCCTAGCTATTTGGTAAATATTCCTTATAACCTAAGTACGTATTCGATATTAAAAAAAATACTATTTAATTATTCAGTGTCCACGTTTTAACGCTTCTAAGAAAAGAAACGTTTCAACTGTGGTGCGCCGGCGCTTGGTTATCATTTATTGTGGCTCCGCCAATCTAGCTGCGTGTCAACCACGAAAAACAATAAACCCTGTTGTGCTCCTACCGCACAACAAGTATGGCTGTAATTCGTTAGTAGAGGACACAAATTATGCACCGCGGAATTTCTGTGCTTGTAGAAATCTAACGTGCCGTCATACTAGGGGGTGAGGCAGGGGTATTCTGCGAACACCAATGCAGCCTTCGTAGCAGGCCATACAGCTGCAACTGGCTCAACTGGTTAGTGCTTCTCTACGTTCTCATCCTCTTCAAATTGTCCACTTGCGGCATCTTGTCGTACCTCCAGTACGTTCGTCCATCCGTGTGTTTAGATGTGACATATCCCCTGTGAACCGAAAGGAAGGCAGCTGCAGACGTCTATATTTTGTTAGAGCAATCTAGATCGATAGTTCAGGGCAGCTGCCTATTCTCATCATCTACTGGGTATTTCTCCTGTGAAACCAGAACGCTATGGTTCGCAGTCGATCTCGAAGCAGAGAACATCGACGGGATCGCCGAGATCGCTCGCGATCCCGCGAAGACCGCGAACGTCGGAGGCGAGAACGAGATCGTGAACCTCGCGAAGGCCGCGACCGCGACCGAATTGAACGCGATAGAGAGGAACGTTATGGCCGTAGACGGTCGCGTTCCAGAGATCGTGATGGCAGGAGAAAAGACAGGGTCTTGAGTCGTGATAGGCGTGAACGAAAAGATAAAGACGGAACTGGGCCGCCAGGACCGAAAAGAAACGCAGTACCAGACTATCTGATGGAGAAAAAACCACTTACTGAAGCGGACTTTGCCGGCAAAGACGACGAAGAAATTGAAATGATGAAAATGATGGGTTTTGGTGGGTTTGAATCTACTAAGGGACGGAAGGTCCCGGGGAATGACGTAAGTGGTGTACATGTAATTCAGAAAAGGAAGTACCGCCAGTATATGAATCGAAAGGGCGGATTTAATAGACCGCTAGATTTTGTCGTGTAAGAAATTTTTGAGACTACACACGTGGATTTCAAATAGTTAACTATGCTCGCGGAAACATTTCAGTGGAAACCGCAGGAGAATGCAGAGAAATAGGTCGGGCGGGAATCATGACAACTTGTATGTATTGTTTACACAACCTCTGAACACGTATAATAATTAATAAAGATCGATTATTTATAACGTATTTTGGACGCGTTTTAAGTACGTATAATGGGTACTAGCTTTATTCATTACCTTGCTAATTGTTGTAGTACAATATACTTAGCATTTATTCTTAATACACGTTTATTATATTAATAGCAAATGTATAGGCATAAACGTGAGCTTCTGTGTAGTGTTAAGACATTGCTGCCGAGTTGGTTCGGAATACGCTGACAAAGATACCTGTAATTGTACGGTAAAGCACAGAAAGAAGGCATGGAGTGCTTAGGTATTCCACTATGAGTACTGTGTAAGATTGCATTTTAGTTAAGTTTCAAGCATACGATTGCTATATATCCAGTAAGCCTCTTCGTTTGTAGATATTGTTTGGATTAACGATTCAGTTGTACAAAATGGCTGTTACACTGAGCGTCGCTTGCCATTCTTAGGTTTCGACGCAGGATATCTTCTGGCACTTCTCAGCTTTTCTAGAATTGTAGCATATTATGTTATTATTGTCAAAATCTAACACTAAAGCGCTAAGATAAGATTATTCTGTATCTCATTGTTCATGCAGCATACAAAATACGTGTTGGAAATTAAAATAAATTATATTTCCCTGAATCGATGAAAGCTCACACATTTTGTATAAATAACGAGTTGATTTTTACGCGCGTTTTGTTCTCATTCCACTTATGCTATAACTGAACTTGGTAATTTTTTTGGAAAAAATTACTCTGACTTACATTTCTATGATGATTGCAGGAAACAATACTGTGATAACTACTGTCTTAAACGCGTTTCTACAATTTATTGTGACGTGATAAAAGGCCGCAAACGTAACGGCAGCATGGCTGCCTCCCGGCCCCTGACCGCAAGTTGCGCCGGGGTTGGTGCAGGTGTAGTGGGAGGTGCCGGAATGGCCGAAACCCCACCGAATAACAACGGTGGACATCATGGCGATATCGAGTGCTGCGGTGGCGGCGTTGACGCGGCAAATGGTGAAAGCGGCGAGGCGGGGTGGCTAGCAGAGGGGTCCGAGTGTCTTACGCTTGATTTTGGGCCATTCGAGATAGCGCATCTTTGGGTACAGATGCCACCTTGTGAAGAGTTCGTTGGCGCCAGGTAAGCCCTGAAATTGTTTACGCGCTGAAGTTAGTAACCACGTAGCAAGCAACTTTACTAGCAAACCTTAAGGTAGTAAGTCTTTTTTATATGTCAATATCAAAAATTGTTCCAGGTTACTATTAATCGTTATGGCTTTTATTGTCTTGCTTTGTCTCATAATTGTAATTTGATTCAAACCCCAAGACGAAGTAAACATACGGCTGTTGCGTACAAAGATGCGATTTACGTATTCGGTGGAGACAACGGGAGAGAAATGCTGAACGATTTGCTACGTTTTGATGGACGAGACAGATCGTGGTCGTCATGTAGAGCGTTCTCCACTGGAGCAGCGCCAGCGCCGAGGTATTTTTAATATATGATGTTCCCTGAAAATTGGTCTCTTTCTTTCACAGAGAAACCACAGTGACTAATGATGATTACTTATAATTAATTAACATTTTAACTGAACGATTATTTCTAACAGTCGTTGATCGTATTGTTTTTTGGATTATAGGTACCATCACTCGGCCGTTGTTCATGAAAGTTCGATGTTCATCTTTGGCGGCTATACCGGTGATCTTCATTCAAATCAGAATCTCGCTAATAAAAATGATCTTCACGAGTTCCGTTTCACGAATGGTCAATGGATTGAATGGAAGTTTGAAGGGAGGTAAGTGTTAATGACAAGAACCATGAAACAGGTATAGGAATTTGGGCGATAGAAAGATCTATGGTTAAATTGATAAACGTGTATGGTTATATTAAGTTTTGATATTTTTATTTTCTACAAAGAACCTATATTGGCATATTTATTTTTTAACATTTGTTATTTCTGCTTGTAAGTGCTACCTGCTTTCTAATCCGCTTGCAGAAATGTGAGATCTTCTGTTTGCTATCTTCTGTTGTGTTAACTTTTGGGTTTGCAACCCTTAGGACTAAATAAGAAAAAAAAACATGTACGTACTAGGGTCAAATACAGAGATAAAGTAAAATTCGGATATAAAACGGAAAATAAGGAGATTTTGACAGCTAGCTAGATAGTATTTACGTTGCGCGAAAATAACGTTAAAATCTGCCAATCCGTATGTACTGTACTAGGAAAGTATTTATTTATTAATATACTAAAATACTGACGTTTCCTAACTTTAAAAAAAGCAAGTATGAAGATTGATTCTTCGCGAAAAATCTCAGGACAGTTTTCCTTATTTCAGGATGCCTGTACCACGCTCCGCTCATGGAGCGGCCGTGTACGACAAGAAATTGTGGATTTTTGCGGGTTACGATGGCAACGCTCGCCTAAATGATATGTGGTGCACATCACTCGCAAATAGCGGTCCAGGTGGTAGCGGCGCTGGGGGTCAGGCCGATCGGGGTCTTACAGAGAAAAAGACTTGGGAAGAGGTATGCACTCGATTAATTTTTGTAGTTTTCTTCTAAAATCTATTTAGATGTTACTTAAGAGATGTTCGTAATAAACAAGCTTGAACAAGAGCCTCTGAAAACTTTGATTTACACCGAAGTTCTTAGCATCAAACTGTCTAAATGCTGATTTCGGGCTTAGCTTCTAAGTTCTGCTTGTATATTCGGAAGTGAATTACATGGACAAAGTGACGTTTTAAATTATTCTCCTCTTGTGTTATAGGTTAGCATGATGCTATGTTAATGAGTGAATGCGCGGTAGCGTATGTATATAGATGTATAACAGGATAAACTTTTCTCGTCGGCTGCTGCAGGTAAACCAATTAGGCGAACGTCCGCCCACATGTTGCAATTTCCCTGTTGCTGTGGCTAGAGATTCTATGTTTGTATTCAGTGGACAGAGTGGCGCTAAGATCACAAATTCCTTGTATCAATTTCACTTCAATGAGCGCATGTAAGTTCTCTTATTATCCTGCATTTTAAGCTGTTTTGCCAAACTCTTGGTGCAAAAAAAGAACGAAAGTGATTGCTCCTGTGGCTAGGCATTTCATTCACAATGTTTTGTCTATCATTTGTAACTTGACTGAAAATTCACAGTAAATACGCGATTACAAATGCTGCCGGTACTAGGCATACCGCCCTATACTTATCGTTGAATAGGTTACAAGTTAAAATATTAACGTATTCCTTTGGATTGATTTTCGAGTTATTATTATTTTCGTCTTAGCAACTAGAATCATTGTTGCTTATGGAGTATAAAAGCGTATATGTGTATTAAACATTTGGCTGAGAAGGTGGACGAGGATCTCAACAGAACATATTCTTCGCAACGCTCCCCCACCACCGACGCGAAGATACGGGCATACGATGGTCGCATATGATAGGTATGAGTGAGCTTGAGGATATTCCAATTTGCCAACAATAACTATAGAGAAACTTGTGTAAGGAATAGTATGCTATACATGGAAACATATATCACTTGTCCCGACTATGTTTTTACATGTAGCGTATTGGTATCCTATATTCTAAAGCGTGTAGGGGTTTTTGTGTCTAAATCCGTATCATCTTAAAAATAGTTTAAACTAAAAAAAAACTTTTATATGCAATGTGGCGGGCTTACTGGAACAGTATAATGACAGGAGAACTACAAGTAGTAATAGCAACGGAACAGCACGGAGTGCTGTAACTAATAACAGGGAGTAGTGCAATAAAATTATTAAACACCTGTTACGAATTGTAGGTGGGAACAAGAACTTAGGTAGGACGCGTTTGAATTCGTTGCAAAAAGCAGTAGGACAGTGTAGGGTAGCTCCTGGTGTGAACACTCAATATGTTTAATACCTGTAATATGGATGGATATATCCATAAGCTTGTATTTGTTGGTAAAAATTGTTGCGTGTTGAACCTGTGTAGTTGCGCACGTTGTTACTTAAATGTCAATATATGTATGGATAAGTTTAGGTAAGTCGGTCTGTAGAGGAAACGCTGGAGTGAATACCCCATGGCTAGAAATCATTTTCATGTTTAAAACTACAGAAAACTATATTTATAATGAGTGGACTTTTGATGTAAATCGTACTACACGCGCTATGTGGATAACGCTGCCACTTTATTATCAATATTATATATTAAAGGGCCAACCAGGCTTGCTGCTCCATAAGTGACATGTGCGCTTAGTATTCATTTACATAGTGTAAAAGATAATATGAACACTGGCTGGCTCTCGTTGAAAAGTATGAAAACTTCTTTTGGAACAATATAGCGCATATAATATGTCGTCAATTTCATTGCTGTAATTTCTAGACACCTATACGTGTTTGGTGGCACTGCTGACAGTATTCAAAGCAACGACCTGCATTCGTTTGATCTGGACGAGAAAATGTGGAGCGTGGTGGAACCTGCCACTAGCAGCGTCGTAAGTAGCAGCGACTTAATCCTTCCGTTAGCATCAAGTGTGGATTGAAAAACGCACTCAAGTCGTGGGCCGTTTTATTGACCCCTTATAATTCTGTCTGTTTACTTTTCGATCAATATCCATTATACAGACTCTCTAAGCCCTAAAGGCTAACACCACTTCGATTTGCGCGTTAGGTTCCCTCGGGTCGCCTCTTTCATAGCGCAGCAGTTATTGGCGATGCTATGTACATCTTTGGAGGAACTAAGGATAACAATACCCGGTATGAAAACTTTTTGAATATATACAATAATAATAATAGTAATAATCACAGTAATTATTATTATATTGGGTAATTGTGTTTAGAAAGTAAATGTTATAAGAGCCTTCGAAGTCTTGCTAGCTACAAATATCGTGTAGATGATTTTAGTTATTCAGAATGTTGATTACCTTCTTGTTTACCAGTGATATGTTGTCAGTCAAAAAGTTTCTTGAAAAAACGATGTCTTGAGGTATTTGAAGTAAGTTTTAAAGGAATTTAGGGTAATCTGCTGAAATCTGTAGAGTATAACAGATTACAAATAAATTAAGTGTAAAAATTGATATGATTGCAGGTCGCGAGAGATGTATCGTTTTCAATTCTCGTCGCATCCGAAGTGCACCCTGCATGAAGACTTTAGCCGTCTTTTGCGGAATCGCTTGTTTTGCGACATTGAGTTTTTGGTAGGTCAAGAAGGTATCGTGGTACCTGCCCATATGGCATTCGTTGCAGCGAGGTCCACTTTCCTAAGGGAAAGAATTCTCAGGGCAAAGGTATTTATTTTTTTGTTATACACTCACCTGTTTTTCACCTTGTTTTTATTCCGATACATAGTAACTATACATATCTCATATAATAAAAGTTATCGATGCGTTTATCAATATGCATATAAATAGACCAAAAACTGTGTATTTTCGGTCTGAAATAGCAATCCGTGTGGATCACCTAATTTTTGCGATCTTTAACTGATTTTAAGGAGGAACAGGAAGAACGGGCTTTGCTCGAAGGGAACGGACCAAGTGACACAAATACGTGTTCGATGCTTTCGGTCCGCCTTCCGGATGTACCCCCGGAGGCGTTTCAGCTAGTCCTTACGTACATTTACACTGACTGTATTGATCCCACTGATGGTGACGTCAGTCACAAATGGGAGCCAGGCTCTAACCATATCGTTTTGCTCATGATGCAGGTACTTGTTTGTTGAAACAGATTAGTCTTTACTATTTTGTTCCATATGATATGCACCCATATCTACTATACAATAGATACCATTCAGGTGTATGGTAGGGTTTCCAGGTGATTACATGCCCTCAAACCATCTAACTCATATACGGCTTTATCGTTTTGTGATATAGGTATATCGCTTATCAGTAGAGTTTCAGATGCGACAGCTGGAACAGCTCACGGTGCAGTACCTTGAAGCAGCTATCAAGCACCGTAATGTTCTTCTAGCATTGCAAAATGCCTCACAGCTTAAACTCGACTCGATTAAGGTTAGTGAAAGCGTTACAGTTCAAAAGTATAGCTTATGCTGTTCTTCAAGGACGTTATGGTAAAATAAAAATATGTTGAGACTGTTATAAACTCAAACCCTTCATTTTACGAGCTGTCGAATCAGTTGGACCAAACTGATCCAATACACAGATACTTAATCAAAACGCACAGATAGAAACATATTTAAATAGTGAAGGTTAATTATCTAATATGACGCTAAGTGATATCATCGGTGCTGCTCTTGCGTTACAGGAGTTTTGTTTACGTTTCATTGTGAAGGAATGTAATTATAACCAGATAGTTATGTCCAAAGAGTTTGAGACCATTTCACAACCTCTCATGGTCGAAATTATTAGACGGTAAGCTGCTTAATACAGAATAGAATACTACTGCTATAAGCTAACAAGTACTATTAGTTGACCTTTAGGATATTTGTACATTTTTAATTTACTTTATTTTTCTTAGGCAGTGTATGACTTGAGTTTAAAACTGAAATGTAGATGTAGACTTTCAAACGAAATTCGTTAGGTTTTGGAGATAAATTGACTAAAAGGGCTTTGTGGCAAATTTTAACTAGCGTCTTCAATTTTTTTTATTCGTTTTTTTATTACTTCCAGTTTAATTGAATGTAACTGTCGCGTAGACTGTTGTTTGCATGAAATGAGGAATTTCCGTTTGATTTTCAGACGTCAAGCACCTCCTCATCGGGGTCCTATGATAAGTGGTGGAGTTTCGGGAAACAGCCTTGTAGGAGGAGGAAGTAGTGGCAGCAAGGGAGGGCCCGATGGGACAGTGTCGTCGTCATCTACTGCAACAAGTGCTGCTAGTGGTGGTAGTGCGGCCGGAGGTGCTGGGAGCGGGGGTTCGAACCTGGAGCAGGACATGGCTGCCCTTCTTCGAGAGGTGGGCGGGCCTGGTGGAGATTTTACAGACATCACCCTTATGCTAGATGGGCAGCCCGTTAGGGCTCACAAGTGTATTCTCGCCGCCAGGTTTGTATGGTTCTACACATATACATCTACGATAAGGATGCTATCGCTAAAAAAAATTGCTCAAGGGTCGTCTGCCAACAGTATCCAAGAGCTGGAGGATGCCCCCACTCCGGCTGGCTGAGTGAGTTTAATGACGAGCACCTGAAGACATCTTTGAGGAAATTTTGAAGAAATAGAATTTAACCAAAAGGTGTGCTACAGGCATACAAACGTCGTTGACCACCTAAAGTTTTTTTAGGTCTACACGAAGTCTTAGAGCTTGGATACCCCATTGATTCTCTCAATTCAATAAGAAATTACAGCTTTACGCTACATTTCAACATCTACGTTTTAAGTATCATACAATCACAATTACCGATTTTTGCACGGAATGGGTGGCTCCTGGAGAAACCAAGGCGCGGGGCCTAACAGGACCTTTATTCGAACGAATCTTTGCTGTCCGTTTGGGGGATTGGAAGGACCTGATTCGATGGCCATTACTTCCTATTAACCATACAGTTGATAAAAAAGTTTATTTGGTTTAGTTATATCAAACTATCTAAACTAGTCAAGAGAAGAGACCTGAAAAGCGAGGTCAGATTATTTTGCTTCATGACAATGCAAAACCACACGTTATGAAGATCGTCAATGCTCCTGAATTTCACATGAAAGGCTGTTGCAATTTTTGTATTTTTAAAATCATTCCCGTCATTTCCACACAGTCACCTTTGTTGCCTTACCTTCGACGCGGGCTAAAAACTTAAAATGTTGCTAGAAAACTTCGAGATAAAATCCGCTACTTTCTAGTGAGGAGGTGTGTATTATTAAAAGAAAAGAAACCAGAGAGTCATGAATAGTAACAGTGGATACATAACGTTATAACTTACTGTTACAAGAATAAAAACGTGATGTTATATTAAGTGATTTAAGCTTCTATCTAATTTTTAATTAATTTTTATTTAATTTAAGTCTAATTTTATAGTGGCTTATTTCCTATTATTTACTTACCATTGGCTCGGGGTAGCTGTTAAGCTTAGGTAGTGATTTTAATAATGATTGTTTGTTTCATGTTGGCAGGTGTTCGTACTTCGAAGCCATGTTCCGCTCGTTCATGCCTTCAGATAACGTTGTGAATGTCGCGATCGGCGAGATGGTTCCTTCTGCGCAAGCGTTTCACACTTTGCTCAGGTTTGTAACGAAGACTATGCTGATGGTAGGAACCTATTTATTTCGCCAATGACTATGTTGCGTTTAAATGTTGTTGCATTGCTAATCTCTTGAATGATCTTCACATTCATCCTTCGCGCATCATCAGCGCGGCTTCTCGGGTAGAGGTAAAACTTCGCTTCTGTCGCCTATGTGCCAGTAAAGAAGCCATATTAAATTCACATTTTATAATAAATAATCATAATTACATTGCAGTCATACTACAATTGAATAAAGCAAGTGCACGATGACATAACACGATGCGCACATTAAATCATGACTGATATTTAGCTGTTTTTTGTAACCTAGTCGAGTAGAGTAATATAGACGTTTGTCTCTCGATAACGGCAACTCGATTTTAGCTTAATCTATGTTCATATTCTTGAATCTCATTGTATATTTCACATTCGTTTTTGTCATGGCATCGTCTAAAGGTAGTCTATCAGTTAAAAGGGCAGATGTCTTTATATTTAACAGATTTATTTACCATGGATCGGTGGACATGCCTCCGGAGGATTCGCTTTACCTCTTTTCGGCACCGTATTTTTACGGTTTTGCGAATAATCGCCTACAGGCAGCCTGTAAGCAGAACCTCGAAAGGAATGTCACTACAGACAACGTCATTCAGGTTGGTTTGTCGATTCGTGAATTTATTTATGATTTTAGGACTCCGTTTTGTCCTTTTCGTCAGCTATCTTAATCCATGTGATCATGATGCAGTCATCTTTGGATGAATAAAAGGACATGTGGGAAAGAAACATAATTTATTATCTTACTTAAAGCTTTGTTTTAAAACTGACGCAAAAAACAAGCGTGCGTTACATTGTACTAAATGATTACTAATATGGTAACGCAATGGGCATCTTTATGGGTATTGCTAGGTTCTGGAAGCCGCCGATAAAATCCAGGCGGTGGATATGAAAAAACATGCTCTTTCGCTGATCGTGAAACAGTACCCGCGTGTGGCCAAGGTAAGAAGAGGTAGTATTGGATCGCCACTTAACGTATCCAACTGTTTGCATCATTGATGGGTACACCATTTTGATTTTTATTTATCCCACATAAAAAAATGTGTGCATCTTAGCTCTTTTTTCAGTTACTGGAAGCCCCGCCTACCTTAAGCCATTACTGATAATTTTCGACGTGCTTGGTTTTGCTTGCATTCTTACTAGGTGTCCCGCCTGCGTCAGCTGTCGCGCCATTTACTGTTGGCCATTCTCGATGCTCTGGCCGACGATATGGCTCGTTCAGGTGGCAAACTCCGACCGGACATCAGCTATTCAAATCTATGCGGAACGGAAGGCGGAGTTGGAGCCAGTAGTAACTGTGCCAGTAGCGGTGCAAGCGTCAATGGGAGTATAGCATCAGGCTCCAACTATTATTATTATACGCCTCAGCAGCAAGCATCGTCTGGTAGCAGTGGTGCGCACACCAGCTATTACCAGTTGGAGCACCTGGCTAGCAATCGGGACTGAATTATTGCTACGACGCCTCCCTGTATCCATATAAAAACTTTATAGTCGATTGATTCATCACCGAGTGCTGTCGCTAAACTAGCTCGAATATAAGGCCGTTTCGCTGTGAAACGGCCCTTAGAGAAACGTAAATTCAGTTAAGACAATAACGGCGATTAGCTACGAACTCGACTCAATTTTGCGCGTATAGACCTCGGACAACTGCTAATTTTGTTTTTAGGCATATTTCTACAAAAATATTTAGTACTAAAAGTGAAGGCGTTGGGTCGCTGTCTTCCAAGCAGATGAAAAAGAATGGGAACTGGCCAATATGTGGAAAATTCAGTTGAAAAGATAGCTGAATAGTGGTCAGACAATAGCGTGCAGGAATAGATTGTCTAACGCGACAACTAACAATTATATCGATTACGTATAAAGGATGTTGTGAAGAGACGAGGATAACATCAGCTCTGTTCGGTAGTTTGTGCTCTAGACATGACGACAAGAACAGGCTACGCGAAATGTTCCGTTGCATTTTTCGTGCATTTGTGACCTACCCTTTTGGACATCAGTGGGATCGCCGTCAATAGAGTAAGCAATAGAAGAAAGGCAGCAAAGTATTTTGGCTGGATGACTCTGCATAACGCCCATGGGAAACGTGGTGCTGCTCTTGGTTTTAAATTGCTCTTTTGGTCCACGGTTTCGTTAACATAACCACCGAAAAGGAAATTAGAGTTAGTGTCTTTAAAAAAAAACGTATATATACAAACATGTATATGAGGAGATAATTAAAGGGACATCAATAAAGCAAAGCAACTGGAATGCTGGTTCTAACATAGGGGCGTACTTCATGTGTGCACCTGAACTATTCGAGGCAGCAGTCAATAAGACGAAGCAGTTAACCTTTGCTAGTATCATTGCCATAGTATTACGAACTAATTTTGTGCAGTCTATTTTTAGAGGCAATGATACGCCATGGTTGAATCATGATATTTAAACGGTGACCTACACAGCGGTATTGGTAAATATAAGTAGAAATTAGATACTTAAATTGTTATGTTGAATTTCTAAATCTAGCATCACGTAACATAACAAGAAACGAAATGAAAAGAACAAAAAACAGAGGCTGTTTTAAAATGATAACTGCAGTGATCTGTATTGCCAATAATTGTTGTCTGTTATATTATTGACATAAACAGATTTAGCTATAATTATCATATTGATGTACTTTGAATAGGAAAGTTATAAATAAAGAAAGTTCATGTATTTATATCATTTACATGTAGCGTAATCTTTATCAAAATTCCAAAAAAGGGGAAAAGAATTGATTCGATCTTATTTGATTCGTTAGATTAACACTAAACGTACTGGCACTTGCAGAGCTATACCAATCGTGATTAATGATCGTAAATTAATCGTAGTTTTAAATTCAGTGCCGATAATATCTGAATCTCTAGAAAAATAAGAACAGTCAAAGTGACCACCAGTGGTAAGTTGTATGTTTATAAATAAATATTTAAGCTCATAACTTTATTAAAAGGTCTGGAACGAGTCAAAATTTGTAAATATTGGGTCGTTCAGTATACCACACGCGAAACCCTAAGCTCATATGTCCGAAACACGCTATTTTTTAGTGCTGCGGTATTTGGTAACTTTGCTTTGTTTTCAATTCACACTTATGTTTAGATATCGCCGAATGAGCTATGCATCCGGTGAAGTATTAAATATTAAAAACATCGTGAGTCGGTTTCAACAACTGTAAAAAAGGATTTCTGAAATCCATATTGAATCTGGTTGAGGCTTCGATCAGAAGGTAACTGTGACAAACATGCATAAGTACACGGATGTTGGCACTCAGATAGATGTGAAAATATAAGCCTTTTGTCATCCATTATACTGACCTGACATTGCTCTCGTCAGAATTTTTGTCAAGATGTTTTTCATGAGAAAATTGTTTAAATCTCAACATAGTAGTAATTGTTTTTCGACTCTATAAGCTCTTAGCCTCCAAATCCAGACAATCGTGGAGTAAATAAGTTACCATCGAAGTGGTAGAAGGCCATACATAATAATGGTGCTTATTCCAATTGAAATGAAAGTACAGTGTTTTCGAAAAATGAGATTATTATGTTCTATAAGTGCTGTTCCTTCCTAGACTGCAGATTTAATAGAGATAAAACTTGTAAAGCAAAACGTTCGCTGTGCAGCTCTGCGTATGATGGCGACGTTCAGCACACGCTTGAAAGCCGCATAACCGATTTCGAGGCCTTAATACCTAAGCACACTTCTGAACCACTCCAATTCCCTTTCATATCATGATTGGACATGTCATTTTATGAAAAAGCGCTTCTTATAGAATCTGGCCAAAAAATTTGCCAGGAACTGAATGTGACAGAGCGGCCAGTCAATGCAAGTACAGGCTGCGGCTGAAGGTGAAAGCACAGAACTGGCTATCTTGTCGTATCTCATTTCAAAGATGGAAAGTGAGCAGAGGTATTTCAGTCTTTAAAATGCTGAAATTTCACATTACAGGCAAGTATCTTTGTCATGAAACCTATATGGGCATAAGACATTCCTTCTCCAGTAAAGAAAAACATCCTGGAACACGGCTTGCACATGGTCGAACAAACGACCAGTAAAATTTCGATTTACCTCTTTTAGTCAGTATTATTGAATAATCGGAGCAAGGTTATAACAAAGATTCAAATAATGTGAAATAATTTCTATTCAAATACTATTTGTTTATTCATATAAATAAAGATTTTTATGTAAAAAAGTTGCTAAAGAAGATAATTGTTTCTTTATTTAATCATTGCTGTCATATCCTGTATATCTAAAGAGGTTAATGAAGTAATACTAAAAAAACTGAAAAAGTTGAAGGAACGTAGACCGTTTATGAGGGTAAAATGACTGAAGTGAAGTTCAATAGAACAATACAGATGACTAAAACTGGAGAATAAGGGCAGGTCAACGGCGATACACTAACGCTGGCTTTAGACTGCTACTTCAGGCCAAGCCGGTTTCTCCTCGCTTTAACTTAGATCCTGAAAATGATCAAAATAGTGTTGGATAGCGTCCAGTGTATGCAAGCAGTATGGATTACACCCGATAAATATTTATTATTGTCAGCGCGTATATGTAAAATAGGCGAATATTACATATGTGTGGCACTACTCGTCACCGAAAGAATTAAGTAATAACAACCTCCTTGCTTCGATATGAATTACTATCATAGTTTTTTGACAGTAATTTTAGATACACTGCTAAGAGAATGGCTTTTGTCGGGAAGAGAAGGCTATGGTACTGTGGAAGCTTTCTTGCTTGTCCCGATAACTTAAATACAATAGTCCCGGCTATAAAACAAATACACCAACGGGAAGTTAGTCATTGGGGTATTTAGCCTAATACAGCACAAAAACTCACAGACCTCTTTTATCAAAACCGAATCAAGTAATTTCCTCAACTTGAATAGTAAGTAAGTTTAGGTTTTTGTGAAGTGACTAAAAACATAATGATGTCATATATTCGTGCGTTAGGCATATTATGTTTAAAACAGGTGCTTCATTAGCCAAGTTGTATTCATTTATATAAGTTGTACTCCATTTTATCTTCAAGTTGCTAGCCACGCTGGACATTAAGAGAAGTCTGCTTGTGGAGCTACGATTTAAAATATAAGCTAGAGATTCTCTTTAATTAATTTTTTATTTATTATCAGTAGCGTATCGTCCAGTAAAACGTAATTCCTTTTGCTGAAAAAAAGAGTTTGTCATAAAGTAGCCCAATTGGCGATTACGATTCGCTTCTGTCACCCATTTTGAAAAAATCTATATAGCTGGTTGAATAATATTAAGAGTGGCTATTTATTTCTAACTGTTTGACGTTCATAGTATTAGAGTAGCCTGGTCATTTTGTTTTTCATATTAAAGTTGTCTATTGGTAAACGTGGTGTTTTAGATTGTTGAGTAGATAATAAAAATAGTTCCTTACTTATGTTGTTTGCTGTAGTAAAGGCGAGGAGCGTCATTTTCGTCCGGGTGCTTAACTGGATGCTGTGTTTTGATATGTAAATCTTTCTGCATTATTGTCTTCGCTTGGCTCTGCTACGTTTCATATAGCACTCAAACAGTTATATCTACTGAAACCATGAGGGTACTGCTAGGATCTACTTAGAAGCTGCAATATGTTATAACACATCGATTAACCTCTTTAAGTTATTAGGCATTCCGTGTATAAACTTGCTCAGGCGAAATTTCTGATTTAACATAAGCACAATGATGTCATAGGTTTACAAGCCTACTTAAATTCGTGGAATACGGCCCTGCACACAAGGATAGATTATACTAAGCCAGCGCAGTTTTTTTGGCAAACAGCTGGGGAATCTTATTATCTAATGAATGACATGCAGTGATGAGGGACGAAATTAGGTGACAGATTTGTATATATTAGGGATCAAAATTAGCTTTTATCTCAGCAACAAGTAAACTCATATGTACGTTCAAGATGAAGATATCATATCGATATGTTTTTTGAAGCTTACCTTTGCGTAAACAGCCTTATTGCCCATTTCATTTGAAGTCGATGAATTATAAGGATACGATAGAAGTAAAGCATAGGAAAGGAAATTTAGTTTTTTCGTGTTATCTACTAAGCTCGGAAATAGATGAATTTTTAAATAGCTGCCTTAGGTACTAGCCATGTATGCTTTCATTGTAGCACGATAAAGTTAGAACACGTATTTGTGTAATTCTGATATAGAACTAAAGTATTGTAAATAAATAACATGACGCTCGCAATAAATCTAATAATACGTCGACAAATCAAGAAAAGATCTAGAAAGGCTGGACCAAACTGGCCTATGCACTACTATACAACTATATATTACTACCAAACATGGAATAGGCTTCATCTTATTTAGCAATGACTGCTACGAACAAACAAAGCGCCGTAATACAGCATCTGTTAGAAATACGCTTTTACAATAATACTAATCTATACATTAGCTCTAGGCTGTATATGGCGCCGTGCCAATATATAACTGACTCACCATGATTACCTTGGAAAAATTTTAGATCAACAGTATATATCGTCTAGCCGGATAAAATGAAAGGTTTCGCATTAAGAAGGCTACCCACTAATGTTATTGATTATGATTCTTTGGATATGATGTTTACTTGTTAATAGGCTGCAGTAAATTGCAACGGTTCCTAAAAAACAAAGCGATTAGCGTTAGTCAAAGCTAGCTAATATGCGGTATATGCATTGTTAAAAAGTCAAAAGGTATGTATTTCTCTTTGACGACTTGAATCGGTATTAGTTGAGTTTACAAATGAGACAAATAAAATCAGAACAATCTTTATCAAATTTTAGCGGAGGTTAAAGGGGCTGCTACCTTTGCCGCCTTTTTCTTGGCACTTGATTACCAGGGCTTGTATTCACCGTTTCTTTGAGAAATCTAATTCCAAGAGGCCCAAATCAGTGACTGCTAATAAATACTATCCAATGCAAGTAAAGAAGCAATTTTAAATTTTAAACTGCTGTCCCGTAGTATATGTTTGTGTTCGGAATATATGGTTGTGCTTGGAAGTTAGTTGATCAGGTTGTATCGTTAATTCGAGTTTAAAAGCGTCGCTAATGGTATTGCTACTCGTATTCGTGTGCTTTAATCGTCGCCACTAACTTGGTAGCGTAAAATAATTAATGAATAATATAGATAATTTTTTTTGAAATAGTACTACATGAATAATACAATATAGGATTTCAAAAATAATTTATCATAATGCTTATAAAATTGAAACACGAGCACCTTTTTTAAATCCTTAATGCTTTTAAATCCTTTTTTATATCCTTAAGTCCTTAATGTTACTTTTTTTTTTAGTTCTCTACTTTTATCTCTTAATCGAACATTCTCCGTAAATGCATTGGAGTTTCATTGTGGAGTTAATGATATTTCATATCGAGCTCAGGTTTTAAAGGTGCATATGAAAAGGGTGCGTTTTAGACGCCTGCCCTACTACGCATTTTACCGAAATAAAAACAATACGAGATATTTATACCTATACAAAAAGGTTCGTTCAAAATTGTGCAAAATTAAAGGACAGCATCTTCGAACTGCGGGGTGCACATTTGTCTGACCAGCCGTGTGAGATCGATAAGGATCGAGTGAAGGTATTCTAGAGGAATATAGTGTGCGAACAATTTTTTAACTTGGACGAACTGCAGTCATATGATTATCAACAAGCACCTTAGATCTATACC